TGATCATTCCTTCCGCCTGGCGCTCGTCTTCTCAACTCTCTTAATCCGCGTCATTATTTTACCATCCACCTCATGATCATCCTGCTCTTTTTCCGCTGTGCTCGACGTCCTGCACGCAGTCCCCAACGCACGCCCAACGAGCTCCGCAACCAAACAAACGACGCTTCCCGTTCTTGTCTGGAAAGGTTTTTGTTACGACGCGAGGAGGTCTAGGTCGCCAGCTTCGTCTGCTCTCGGGCGTTCTGCTTCGCCTCGAGCTGCTTTCCAGCAGCTGCGACTCGTCGACGGCGCACCCGCGGTGCCAGGGTTGTCCCGATCAACCGGCCGCCAAAGTCCCGAGTTACAGCCGAGGCGAATTCGTAGGTCGACCCTGCCAAATCAAGGGCAGCCCTGTCTCCTGTGTTTCGCGACTCAAGCCTTCCCAGACATGATCGCGTCGTCGAAAAAACAGGACTGGAGGCTTGGGGCCGTTTTCGGCCTCGGGGGGCCCTCGCTGGGCCTCGGAAGCGTCGAAAAACGCTTCAGGAGGAAAAACTGGCCCCAGGAAAAGGGTCGGGACTTCCAGGGACCCCGTAAAGAAAAAATCAGGACGTCGCATGTCTGGGTAGACTTGTGTCCTGCGCTTCGCGACCCATTCCTTCCTTGAGATCCGACGTAACGAAAAAAATGCAACAACGTAGAAAATTACGTCAGGATCCCTGGGTCCCATCTTTTTGCATCATTTTTCGAGCCAGATCGATCTGCGAGGGTCCCAAAGCCCGAAAAAATGCGAAAACGCCCGGCTCGAAAAAACTAAGACGTCAGAATCTCGGGATCTTCCAAATCCTACAATGTGGCCCTCGGAAGGGTCGCGTGCCCTCTCGCATGTCCTCTCCAGTCAACCCCGACTGTATACGGCCGGAGAGTCAGACTGCCGACAATGTGCGAAAAGCGCCGTGCGGAAGGTTTCGTTCGCAGACTCCGGCGGCTTCTGGGGGCCTTCTGGATGAAACTGGCCCAGGGGAAGGGTGCAACCCTTTGGGGACCCCGCATTGGGAAGCGCAAGATGTCGGATGTCTGGGCAGGTCACGCTTCCCGGACCCCCGACGTCATGATTTGAGCGCAACGTCGACCTCCAGAGGTCTCGACCCCTTCCCCAGCACAGGCGTTGCATCCCGAATCGTTTTGTTGACGCTCCCGAGGCCTGGCGCGGGCCCCTGGAGGCCGAGAATAGCGAAAAACCTTCCGTCGTGATTTTGTTCATGCCCCGAAGGGCTCTGGGCAGGAAAGGAGAGGAAGGGGCAGAAGGGAAGGAAGGGGAGGAGGAGGAGGAGGAGGAGGAGGAGGAGGAGGAGGAGGAGAGGAGGAGAAGGAGGAGAAGGAGAGAAAAGGAGAGAAAGGAGAGGAGGAGAAGAGCGGGAGGGAGGAGCCGGAGGAGGAGCCAGCAGGAGGAGCGGGAGGAGGAGGAGGAGGAGGAGGAGGAAGGAGGAGGAAGGAGGAGGGGGGTCTGGGTCTGTAGCGCCGAGGGGGTCTGGGGTGAGGGCGCGAAGGTGACCGCGCGACGCGGCCCCGGCCGCGAGGGCGCCCTGCGCCATGGCGGCGGCGCGAGGGCGCGAAGGCGAGCGCGCGCCGCGCCGCGCGGAACGTGGTGCGGGCGAGGTTGCGTGGCCTCCTCCTCCTCCTCCTCCTCCTCCTCTCCTCCTCCTCCTCCCCTCCTCTCCTCCTCCTCCTCCGGCTCCTCCTCCTCCTCCTCCTCCTCCTCCTCCTCCTCCTCTTCCTCCTCCTCTCCTCCTCCTCCTCCTCCCCTCCTCCCCCTCCCCAGCCTCCTCCCCCTCCTCCTCCTCCTCCACAGCTCTCCTCCTCCTCCTCCTCCGCCTCTCCCTCCTCATCCTCCTCCTCCCCTCCTCCTCGCCTCCTCCTGCTCCTGCTCCTCCTCCTCCTCTTTCCTCCTCCTCCTCTTTCTCCTCCTCTTCCTCCTCCTCTTCCTCCTCCTCGTCCTCCTCGTCCTCCTCCTCCTCCCCCCTCCTCCTCCTCCTCCTCCTCCTCCTCCTTCCTCCTCCGTCCTCGCTCCTCCGCGTCCTCCTCGTTCTCATCCTCGGTCCTCCTCCTCCTCCTCCTCCTCCCCTCCTTCCCCTCCTTCTCCTCCTCTCCTCCTCATCCTCCTCCTCCTCGTCCCCCTCCTCTTCCTCCTCCTCGTCCCCTCGTCCTCCTCCTCCTCCCCTCCTCTCCTCCTCCCCCTCCTCCTCCTCCTCCTTCTCCTCCTCCTTCCTCCTCCCCCTCCTCCTCCTCTTCCTCCTCCTACTTCTCCTCCTCGTCCTCCTCCTCATCCTTCGCCTCCACCTCCCAGCCCTCCTTCTCCTCTGCTCCTCCTCCTCCTCCTACTCCACCCGGCTCCTAACACCCGCGGTCGCCGTTATTCTCGGCGACAGCAGGCGCGAGGTCGTAGTCGTAGTTGGCCACGTCCCTCCCCAGACCCCCTCGCGTTGCGAAAAAAACACGACGGGAAGTGTTTCGCTCTTTTCCGCCCCTGGGGGCCTTTACTGGGCCTCAGGAGCGTCAAGCAACGATTCGGGGTGCAAAACCGGTCCTGGGGAAGGGGTCCAAACCTTTGGGGGTCGACGTTGCGAAAAAGTCATGACGTCGGGAGTCTGCTTCGGAGAGTTACCCGTGCCGCTGCCCCTCCCCAGCAATCGAGGGGGGGGTCGACTACAGAATCGATTTGCCCCAGAATTGATTTCCCGCCGAATCTTCGAACAAAGATGTACTCAGACCCCCTCGGGTAATGAAAAAAATGGTACGAGGTTTTTCGTTATTTTCGGCCTCCAGGGGCCCTTACTGGGCCTCGGGAGCGTCAAAAAAACGACTCAGGATGGAAAGCCGGTCCCAGTAAATAAATTGTTCGAAACCTCTGGGGGTCGACGTCGTGAAAAAATCATGACGTCGGGGGTCTGGGTTCCCGCCGAACCTCCGAACAAAGATGCACAACGCCCCCCGTAGATCCACGGATACTGCCACGCGTGTCTTGCAGATTCGGCGGGACCGTCAGGTTTGAAGTAGATCAATGCCGTAGTTGATCCCCTTACTCGAGGCAGCTCTTCCTCATCCTGGGCCGGCCGGACCGGTCTCTGGCGCTGCGGTCTGGCCAGGCAGGAAGAAACCACGACCCCGAGATCGTGGCGTCTCAGTGTGTCCGAGCCGGGCGTGTTCGCCTCTTTTCGGGCACCGGGAGCCTCACAGATCGGCTCGAAGAATGACACGGAGCGATGGGGTCCAGGGCTCCGGTCGTGATCGGTTGCGATGTTGCAATGTTTTGCAACGTCGGATCTCAGGGTTTGGCTAGGCATGATGTGAAGAAAGAAACATATATATATATATACACACACATAAAAATTTGAAAACAAAAAATGTTGCCCCATCTTCGGCCTCGGGGTGCCCTCGCCAAGCTCGGGGAATGGGTCGAGAGCCTTGAAATCGACGCTATAAAAAGATCACGACGTCGGCGGTCTGGGTGTCGGCATCGCCGGTCCGCGCCCGTCGAGCCCTGCGCCCGGTGATCCCCGAGGCGCGTTCCTTGAAGAGCGCTCACGGAGCGGGGCTGTGGCAAGGCTGGGCCTGGCGCCTCCGCTGGTTGGTTCTGCGGCGGCGCCGGGCCGGTCGGTCCGGTTTCCGCGCCAGGCCGGTCTGTTTTCCGGTTGGCCTTGGACCGAGAACCCAAAGATCCAACGCATTGAAAACATCACGACGGAGGTTTTTCGCAATGTTAGGTCTTTATGGGGCCTTTACCGGGCCTCGGGACCGTCAAAAAACGACTCAGGATGAAAATACTGTGCTGGGGACCCAGACCCCCGACGTCGTGATTTTCTCAGAACGTCGACCCCCAGAGATCTGGACCCCTTCCCTGGGGCCGGCCTTTTCATCATGCATCGTGATTTGACGGCCTCGAGGCCCGGTAAGGGCCCCCGCAGGCCGAAGGCAGCAAAAGACTTCCCGTCGTGACATGTTCACGACGCGAGGGGGTCTGGGGAATGGGCCGAGACTTCCGGGGACCCCGCATGGAAAAAAACACGACGTCGGACCTCTGGGTAAGTGTACGTAGAGGCTTGCCTGGTCGCCGCGGCCGGCTTCGCCTCGAGACCCGGATTCGCCCGCCGACGTGGCGTTGGCAGGCCGCGGCCCCAGAGGGCCCGACCGCCTCCCCAGGGAGGTGATCGTTCGTCCCGGGTCCATTTGCTCTGGGTTCCGCGCAGACAGCTACCCAGACCCCCCTCGCGTTGTTGAAAAAATCGCGACGGGAGGCTTTTTGCTGTTTTTGGCCTCCGGGGGCCCTTGCCGGGCCTCGGGGCCGTCAAATAACGGCTCGGAATGAAAAACCGGTCGCGGCGAAGGGGACCAGACTTTCGGGGGTCGACGTCGTGAAAAAATCACGACGTCGGGGGTCTGAGTACTTGGCCAGTCCAGGCTGGCCTCAGCAGGCCCCCCCCGAGTAGCCTGGGGCGGTCTCAACACCCCAGCCTTCGGCGCGGAGCGCTCAGGGGGGCGCTGCCGGGGTGTTGAGACCGCCCCAGATTAGTTCTGTCGGGGGGCATGCAGAGGCCAGCCGGGACTACCTTGTGGGACGTCTGTGCGCAACTTCCTTGAGATCGGCGTTGCGAAGAAGATGCAGCATCGCGAGCAAGCACGGCCAGAGCTCTAGACCCCATCTTTCTGCGGCACGCTCCGAGCCAGATCGATCTGTGAGGGTCCTGGGGCCCGAAACCGGGCGAAAGCGTCCGGCGTGAAAAAATGGCTACGCCCGGACCTCAGAGCAGGGGGAGATTTGGGAATCCAGGCAACGTCGACCCCCAAAAGGTCTGGACCCATTCCCCAGGACCCATTCGCCGGCGAGGACCCCCAGAGGCCGTAAAGAGCGAAGAACCTCCCGCCGTGATTTTGTTCACAGCGCGAGGGGGTCTGGGAATCTTGATCAGGGCGCGCTCGGCGGGTGCGCAAGGTGCAAGTCGGGGTTTTGCTGCTCCCCCGAGGAGCAGGGCGCGCGTCCAGACAGCCGCGGTGGCGAGCGCGGGCCTCCCAGAAAGACGGGGCTTCCGAGCAGGTGGGGCCCGAGGACCACGCCGCGTCGCCGCCGCATCCGAGCCGCGGCTCGACCTGTGATGGCCCCGGCGCCCGAAGCTGGGCGGAAGCGTCTCGACCTGCACCTTCCGCACCGGCCGCGCGCAGTCCAACTGCGCGGCAGATGCCGCGCAGTTGCGGCCGCCGCCGAGGCCGCAGCGGCGGCCACCGTCGAGGCGGCCGCATCGCGGCGGCACCTTCCGCGCAGAAGGTGCGGAATGGGTGCAGGTCGAGGGCCTCCGCCCAGTTTCGGGCGCCGGGGCCGTAACAGGTCGATCAGGCTCGAAAAATGCCGCGGAAGGATGGAGTCTAGGGCTCTGGTCGTGATTTGTCGGATCTCGGGGGTTCTCCATGCCGGTGGCGCCGCGCCGATGCGTCGCCGACGTCGCCGATGCGTCGGCGATGCGGCGCGACCTTCCGACCCCACCTGCTCGGACCCCGCCTTGGGGCAGGCGAGCCCGGCGAGGGCGGGGCCTTCTTGACCCGCATGGCCGGCACTCGGGTCGGTCGAAAGGGTCGGGGGCCTTGAGACGGGGGTCAGTGCAAACGGGAGTCAGCCAGGGCGCCGGACCTTAGAGGGTCCTGCAGAGCCAGGGGTGCACTGACCCGGGCTTGGGTGCAGGATACCTGAGATCTTGGCGTTCCAACTTTTCCGAGCCGGGCCTTGCAAGTTCTTGCAACGCTTGACCGACCCAGCGGGTCAGTAAAAGCCCGAAAGGAGGAGAGCACAGATGAAGGGCATTCGGTCAGGAACTTGCGGATGAGCAGTTCAGGACCTGCAAGCAAGTGGAGCTCCGATCATGGACGGGCCGTGGATAGCGCCGCCACCCTCATCAGATGAGGAGTCATCCTGGGTCTGAAGCCTCATGGGTACATTCCTTCACGAGCGCCCCCACCGTAGGGTTTAGTCGGGCGTGTCCCTCTACAGGAGGAATATTCAAAAATAGTCGAAATATGGTGTGGGGACGATTCTTTGACTATTTTGGTTATTTTTGATATATATATATATATATATATATATATATATATGATATATATATATATATATATATATATATATATATATACTATACATATACATATACAATATACATATACATATATATGAAAGAGCGTGTTCTACCGCTGCTGGCGGAAAACCGGGAGGGGTCACTACCGGTTCGAACCCCTCCCCCCCCCCTTCGGAAAACCGGTTCGAACCCCCTCCCCGCCCCCAATTCATCATGAAAAGGGGGGGGGGTCACTACCGGTTCGAACCCCCCCCCCCCCCCCCTCGAAAACCGAGTGGGGGTGCGGACAGAGGTGGGGACGGTGTTGGTGGGACAGTGGTGAGGGGACAGCGGGACAGTGGTGGGGACAGTGGGACAGTGGGACAGTAGAGGGCCGGTAGTGGTGGGGACAGTGGTGGGACAATGGTGGGAACAGGGGGACAGTGGACAGTGGTGGGGACGGTGGTGGTGGTGGTGGGGACAGTGGGAATGAGGTGGAAACAGTGGGACAGTGGAGGGTACAATGGTGGTGGGGACAGTGGTGAAGGCGTTGGCGAGGACGGCGGTGGGACAATGGGACAGAGGTACAGTGGGGACAGTGGTGGGGACAGTGGGGACAGTGGTGGGAACAGTGGGACAGCTCAGTGGGACAGCGGAGGAGTCAGTGGGACAGTGGGGACAGTGGGGATAGTCGGGCAGTGGTTGGGGCCGTGGAGACAGTGGGGAGAGTGGAACCGTGGTGGGAACAGTGGTGGGGAACAGTGGGGACAGTGCGACAGTGGTGGGGGCACTGGTGGGGACACAGTGGGGACAGTGGTGGTGAGGACAGTGGTGCTGGGAACAACAGTGGAGGATGTGATGCGGACGGTGGTAGGGACCGGGAGTCGTTTGCTGGCGGTGAGTGGGGGGGGTGGGGAGGGGTTCGAACCGGTAGTGATCCCCCTCCGGTTTTCGAGGGGGGTGGGGGGGGGCAAAAGGGGGTTCGAACCGGTAGTGACCCCCCCGGTTTTCGAGGGGGAAGGGGGGGGGGGGGGGGGGGAGGGGTTAGGGGAGGGGGGGGGTTTTGGCCGGGGGAGGGGGGGGGGGGGAGGGTTTCCAGCAGGGGGGGGGGGGGGATTTTCGGAGGGGGGGGGGGGGCGACCCCCGGGCTCCGGAGGAAAAGGTTGGCAATTTTCCACAGTAAAGCGGCGGTGGATCACGCTCTCTCATACATATACATATACATATACATATACATATACACATACATATGCATATACATATACACATACATATACATATACATATACATATACATACACACGCTGTTTTTTACTCCTCCAAAAATCTCCCTGTAGGAGGCTTTGCCCGACCTAACAGTAGGGAAAGGGGGGGTGCGCAACATGATGCCTGGAGCTGGCCTCGGCCCCGCCTCTGGACGGCTTTCTCGATCCGTCAGCGCTTCCGGCGCCGAGAGGCGCAGGGAAGCTTCAGCTATACGCACGCCGCCTCGCGAACCTCCCCCCCCTCTGCTCTCATCCTCTGTCCCAGACCCCCCCGCGCTGTGAAACGATCACGACGGGAGGCTTTTCGCTCGTTTCGGCCTCCGAGGGCCCTTTTGCCGGGCCTTGGGGCCGTCAACAAGCGACTCAGGATGAAAAACTGGTCGCGGCGAAGGGGTCCAGACCTCTGGGGTTCGACGCTGCGAAAAAATCACGACGTCAGGGGGGCTTGGGTTCGTCGGGCCCGAGGCACGCTGCAGTGGATGGCGCCGGAGCTCCTGGCGGGGAGCACCGACTACTACCTGGAGGTCGACGTGTACGCCTACGGCATGCTGCTGTTCGAGATCATGTGCTTCGAGCCGCCCTTCGCGGACGTGGGGGCCGCGGATGTGCATCGGCTTGTCCTGGATGTCGGGGGCAACGCCAGGGGGGATGGGCCTAGGAGTGAGCTCCAATCGCCCACTGATCGTCGGCAGGGGCCTGATACCCAGACCCCCGACGTCGCGATTTTGTTCGCAGCGTCTGGAGGTCTGGACTCCTGCCCAGGGACCGGTGCTTCGTCCTGAGTCGTTTTTGGACAGTCCTGAGGTCTGGCAAGGGCCCCCTGGAGGCCGAAAATTGCGACAAAAAATGTTCCCGTCGGGATTTTCTCTCACAACGCGAGGAGGTCTGGGGAGCCCGCCTGCCCACCCGGGAGCGAGTCCAGGCCAGCGCTTCCTCCCCCCCCCCCCCGGCCCCGGCCGCTCGGCGCCCCCCCCACGCCAGGACGGCTGCCGGCCCGAGGTCGACGCAGACCCGGCGCTGGCGCCCCTCGAGGGGCTGGCGCGGGCGTGCTGGGCGCAGGAGCCCGGCAGGCGGCCTGCCCTCGTGCTCCCCCGGCCTCGTGGTCGAGCCCAGACCCCTTAAGGCGCTGTGAGAAAGAAGCCCCACGGGAGGTTCTCCGCTCTGCTCGGCCCCTGGGGGCCCCTGCCGGGCCTCGGGGCCGTCAGCAAACGATTCGGGATGAGAAGCCGGTCCCGGGGAAGCGATGCAGACCTCTGGGGGCCGACTTCGTGAAGAGATCACGACGTCGGGGGTCTGGGAAGGTCGTCGGTGTCGTCGGTGATTCGTGGTAGTGAGGGTCTTCTGGCCTCGGGGTGCTTTCCAGCCGCTGCGCCTCGTCGAGGGGGGGGGTCCCGGACCATACCGGTGGGCCTCCAGGGGCCCGAGCCGCGGCCAGAGAAGCGAAGCGCACCCGGCAGGCGGCCCAGCTTCGCCTTCCTGGTCGACGCGCTGGGTGCGATGCAGCACGGGTGCGGCCACGGCGACGCCACCAATTTTTAGTTCCACATTTTGAGAATTGTGGCACTTGTGTCCACGTTCTACGTTTCCCTTGCTTCAGCTCCGCACTCGCTCTGGTGAAAGAGGTGCGTTTGAGCAGCGTACGCACCTGGCGGCTGCCCAGGTACACTTACACTTGTTCTCTTCCTCGAGCCTTGCTTCTTTCCCACTCCCCTCTTCACGCATGTTGTTTGCCGCGAGCTCGCAGACGGCGACGGCCCTCCTGAAGCCTTGCAGGCAGCTCTGTCCTGCTGCTCTGGGATGCACTCCCTTGCGCCTCAGACGCGGACGCACAACCCTTTGAAACCGGGGTACCTATCGTTCATCGTCTGGGCGGGTGCCTGCACTGAGTTGCGCGATGTTGCTTTCACAACTTGCAGCAGTTCGCACGCAATCGCTCCGTCGATCCAGCGCCGCGGCAGTCGGTCGGCTGAATTATGTTGCACTGTGTGGTCTCGCTCGCGCAGCTGCGACTTACCAGAGCGATGCCCAGCGTCGACGTGTCACTACGCAAAGCCGTGGCGCTCGCCACGGCTCCTATATTTTATCGAAGTGCCTTACACTAGGTGAGGTCACAGCGCTGGGGAAGTGGTTGCGGTCGGGTGCGTCGAAGAGCGGAGTGACCTTCACCTCCTCGCGTCGTGACACAAGTCATGGCGGAAGTTTCTTCGATACTTTTCGGCCCCTGGGAGCCCTTACTGGGTCCCGGGAGCATCAAAAGACCAGTCCCAAGGAAGGGGCCCAGACCTCCTGGAGCCCACGTTGCGGAAGAAACATGACGCGGGACTTCTGGGGAGGATGGGGGGGGAGAGATACCATGGCTGGGGCTACGAGAACCCTGCCCGCTATCGCAGCACCCCCTTTCTCTTCCAGGGCGTGCCCTGCGCCACCCTCGTCCGCGCTCACGCCTGGGACTGGTGCGGTAACCCCCCTGGAGGGTTTCTCCGAAGGCCTTAGGCGACCCGTCCTCCTACTCCTCCTCCTCCTCCGCCTCCTCCTCCTCCTCCTCCTCCTCCTCCCCCTCCGCCTCCCCGCCTCCTCCCCCTCCTCCTCCTGCTCCTCCTCCTCCTCCTCCGCCTCCTCCTCCTCCTCCTCCTCCCTCCTCCTCCCCTCCTCCCCCTCCCTCCTCCCCTCCTCCTCCTCCTCCTCTCCTCCTCCTCCTCCTCCTTCCGCTCCTCCTCCTCCTCCTCCTCCTCCTCCCCTTCCTCCTCCCTCCTCCCTCCCTCCCTCCCTCCACCTCCCTCCCTCCTCCCTACCTCTCTCCCTCCTCCCTCCGCCCTACTCCCTCCTCCCTCCTCCCTCCTCCCTCCTCCCTCCTCCCCTTTCCTCCCTCCTCCCTCCCCCCTCCTCCCTCCCGCCACCTCCCTCCTCCTCCTCCTCCTCCCTTCTCTCTCCTCCTCCTCCTCCTACCCTCCTCCCTCCTCCCTCCTCCTCCTCACTCCTCACTCCTCCATCCTCCTCCGTCCCTCCCCTCCCTCCTCCCTCCCCTCCCTCCCTCCTCCCCCTCCCTCCCTCCTCCCTCCTCCCTCCTCCCTCCTCCTCCCCCTCCTTCCTTCTTCCTTCCTTCCTTCTCCTTCTCCTCCTCCTCCTCCTCCTCCCCTCCTCCTCATCCTCCTCCTCCTCCTCCTCCTCCTCCTCCTCTCCTCCTCCTCCTCCTCCTCCTCCTCTCCTCCTCCTCCCCTCCTCCTCCTTCCTCCTCCTCCTACTCCTCCTCCTCCTCCTCCTCCTCCTCCTCCTTCCTCCTCCTCCTCCTCCTCCTCCTCCTCCTCCTCCTCCTCCTCCTCCTCCATCTCTTCCTCCCCCCTCCCCCTCCTCCACCTCCTCCTCCTCCACCTCCTCCTCCTCCTCCTCTCTTCTCCTCCTCCTCCTCTCCTCTCCTCCGCCCCCTCCTCCTCCTCCTCCTCCTCCTCCTCCTCCTCCTCCTTCTCCTCTTCCTTCTCCTCCTCCTCCTCCCTCGTCAGGTCGCCTACGGCCCCCGGGGGAAACCGTGCACCCCCCCATCTTTTTGGGCCCCCTCCTCGCGGCACACGGGGCACGTCGTTCGGTCGTCCCAGAGGCTCCCAGCCAGGCAGCGGGTGCCGTCTGCCCCCACCGCTCCCGCGGATGTCCTTGATTGCGTCCTCTCCGCGCGACGACGCGAAGCGTCATTCGGCGCTGGAAAACGAATGAGCGACCAGAGCGTTGGCCGCTCCTCCACTCGTTGCCTCCATCGCCGCAGGGTGGAGTGGGCTGAGGCCCCACCTCGCAGGAGCCAGCTGGGTGTCCAGCGTGAATCGCCGCGAAATTTTCCCCCCGCCTGCTGCGAAGGGCGCCTCTGCTTGCGCACGCACCGGCCGCCCGCCGCCGAACAGGCGGAACAGCGCGTGCTGTTACCTTGCGCGCACATGGCGTGGCGGGGTTGGAGGGATGTGAGAGGGTTCAGGCCTCCCAGATGGGGTCGGAGGATCGCGCCGCATCGCCGACGCATCGCCGAGACGGCTCGATGTGCAGCCCGGTTTGCTCCGCGTCGACGTCGCCGATGCATCGCCGATGCATCGCCGACGTCGACGATGCATCGCTGGTGCATCACCGACGCATCGCCGATGCATCGCCGATGTATCGGCGTTGCGGCGCGACCTTCCGACCCCGTCTACTCCGAACCCATCTAGGGGGCCTCTAGAGGATCTTGGTTGCCCTGATGCGCCCATGCTGAAGCGCAACACGGACCGAGTTCAAAACGTCCAGGTTAAACACGCAGTGTGTTGGTTCGACAAGTGTCGGCCCCCACTGGGCCAAACGTTTCGCGCCAGAGTTACGTTTTCAATATACGAGTTGAGTTCCGTGTCAACACGCTGCGGGTTGCGCGTATCGTATCAGGGCAGCTAATGAGAGGACCTGGGCGTGAGCCCGAGAGGTCTACAGTCGCAAATGCAGCAAGCTGCTGCCATTTCGGTCCGCCCCTGGCCTGTGCTCGTGGCATTCCGTGAATCCAGCAGAGGGCGCGGCCTGCCGCGCAACACTTGTCACAGTTCTCTTCTGCCAGACTGCACCGAGTGGCTTCGGCTTCCTTGGCCTTCTCGCCCCAGAACTGCACCGGACTTCCCGCGCTGCCGCCAGCAGAGCTCCCGCGGCGCCCTTCCCACGAGGGAGCTGTTTCACCGCACAGGGAAGAAAGGCATGGCCCCGGGGGAGGCCTTGGCATCGCTCGGACGTGTGCATTTTTCCTTCGGCAAGGACCATCGAGGAGCATCCTTGATCATTTGGCGAAGAAACAAAAGAACAAAAAAAATAATAAAAAAACGCAAAAATACTGGGAAAAAATGCAGGGAATGGACGTCCGAGCGATGGCCAGAGCGGCGCGTGCCTAAAAGAGTCCACCTCCCGCTGCTGCTCCTCCCGGCCGCTCTCTTAGGGGAGCAAAGAGTGGCATAAACATAAAAACTCGGAGGTTCGCGCGGATTTCTCGGATCGGCGCTGGGGCCCCACGGCGGCGTTTCCGGCGCCGCCCCTGGCGCGCTCCGCGCGCCAGGGAGGGGGGTCCAGCGCGGATCCGAGAAATCCGCGCGGACCTCCGAGTTTTTATGTTTGTGCCACTTTTTGTTCCCGGGGCCTCGCCCCGCGCCCTCTCGGCGCGAGGCGGCGCGCCCACCTCGCCCCGCCCCCCGCGCGAGGGGGACGGGCCAGCCCGTTGGCTCCTCGGCGAGAAGGCCCTCGTCGAGGAGGAGGACGAGGAGGAGGAGGAGGAAGGAGGAGGAGGAAGGAGGAGGAGGAGGAGGAGGAAGGAAGAGGAGGAAGGAGGAGGAGGAGAAGGAGGCGGAGGAGAAGGAGAGGAGGAGGAGGAGGAAGGAGGAGGAGGAGGAGGAGGAGGAGGGAGAGGAGGGAGGAGTGGACGGGCAGCCCGCAGCCGACAGGCACGGCCCGAGGCCAGGGGGCCGTCCGTAGCGCGGGGTGCGCTGCCCGCCTCGGCTGCGCACAACCCAGACCCCCTTCGCGCTGCGTGAAGAATTACTGCTGGAGGGTTGTCGCTACTTTCGGCCCCCGGGGCCCTTACCAGGCGTCGGGACCGTTCGGAAACGATTCGGGATGCAAAACCGGTCCCAGGGAAGGGGTCCCAGACATCTGGGGGTCGACGGTGCGGAAAACTCACGACGACGTCGGGGGTGTGGGAGGGTCCTGGCCTGCGCGCTTGGAGCTGCCCCGCCCCCCACCCCAGGACGCAGTTGCCGTCGAGCGCCGTACCCATTTCGGGCGCACCCAGCGGCGGGCGTCTCCCGGCCACCTCGCCGTGGTGACCTTCTGGTGCGGGCCTGGCAGGTGCCCCCCCCCCCCCCCCTCGCCTGGCCGCGGCCCCAAGAGACCCCAAGACGGCCCCCAACAGGGCCCCAAGGGAGCCCCAGAGGTTTCCAGAGTGGCTCCAGTAGGGCTCCACAGTGGCCCCCACAAGCTGCGCACCAAACCCAGACATGCGACGTCTTGATTTTTTCAATACGGGGTCCCTGGAAGTCCCGACCCTTTCCCCGGGACCGGTTTTTCGTCCTGAGTCGTTTTTTGACGGCCGCGAGGACCAGCGAGGGCCCCCCGAGGCCGAAAACTGGCAAAGCCTCCCGTCCTGATTGTTGTTACGACGCGCCCATGTCTGGGAAGGTCATTCCTGCGTGGGGTCACTCCTGCGCGGAGCTGGCCGTCAGTCCGCCGTGCGGCGCCTCGCGTCCGTCGCGCCAGCATGCCACACCCCGCGGACGCAGCGGGCCGTGGCGTCCAGCGGCGTGGCGTCGAAGAGCGTGGTCGCAGCGTGGCGCCAGGGCGCGGCGCGGCGGCGTGGTGTCGCGGCGCGCTGCCACAGCGTAGGGTCCCGGGTGCCAAGCGACTCGCGTCCGAGTGTAGCGCCTCGCCTCTGTCGCGCGTCCGTGGCGTGAGTACTTCGGGTCCCCACACATGAGCGCGTCGTAACAAAAATCAGGACGGGCGGTTTTTGCCTGTTTTCGGCCTCGGGGAGCCCTCGCTGGGCTTCTGGACCGTCAAAAAGCGACTCAAGACGAACAAAACTGGTCCCGGGGAAAGGGTCGGGACTTCCAGGGACCCCGTATTGAAAAAATCAGGACGTCGCATGTTTGGTTCTGCATCGCGGCACACGGCTCACGAAACGCTGTGAGCTGTGTGTTACGGATTGTATCTGGTTGAGGTGATCAGGCCGATTGACGTTGCGGTTGGTTTCACATGATTTCATCTTGTTTTTTGCCTACGGTTGTTCAGCGTCGTACTAAGCCATATGTTGGTTCGGTGTGACGTGGCGCAGCTTGACTTAAGCAAGTCCGCTTGGCTGGGTGTATGGTTGATGCGGCTTTAGCTGAGTTTGAGAGTTGCCTTTAGATTTAATGTTGGATATAACCTTAGATGTTGCTTTGGCGTCAGAACTCACATTATGTACACTAGACTACCGTCGCGTAGCTCAATTCAGCTCAGCTCGGCTCAGCACCAGTTTAGGTTTGGCATACCCTGACTGAGCGTTGCTGAGCATGGCTTAGCTACGCAAACATCCGCAGAGCCCCGTCTGACTGAGCACAGCCCAGCTTTTCCTACTGCAGTTTAGCGTCGCACTGCGCAACTCCTCATAGCAAAGCACGGTATGCCTTAGCTTGGCCGTGCAATTCGCCCGTTCCTGATTCCATCGTCGCGTTCTGTCTACGATTCAGCATTGGGGGCCATCGCTGGCCGATTCAAGGTCGAGACCCCCTGGGGGACGGCTGCACTGCCAGGTGATTGGAATGCTCTTGCTGAGCACGTCCCTGGCCTACACGCTCTCCTGGGCGACCGGCGGATGCGAGATGGAGCGGCGGGCCATGGCCATGGAGTTCGCGGTGCAGGGAGGGAGGGAGGGAAGGAGAAGGCGGAGGAGAGGGAGGAGGCGGAGGACAGGGAGGAGCAGGAGGAGGAGGAGGAGGAGGAGGCGGAGGAGGGGGAGGAGGGGGGGGGCGGGGGGGCCGGGATCGCAGAGTGACGTCAGGGGCGGACGAAGCTCGTCAGCGTCTGAGGCTCTCGCGACACGGCCGGAGGCCAGGGCCCCGCAGACCCAGAGCAGAGGTCGAAGAGGCCCCGATGTCGTGTGCTGCCGGGGCGGGGGGCAGGCACGGAAGCGGGACAACGAGCGGCCCACGCGCATTCCCGGACCCCCTCGGGCAGTGAAGAAATCAGGACGGGAGGTTTTTCGCCATCTTCGGCCTCTGGAGGCCCTTAGCGGCCCTCGGGGCCGTCAGAAAACGGTTCAGGATGAAGAACCAGTCTTGGGGGAGGGGTCGAGAATTCTGGGGGGTCGACGTTGCGAAAAAAACATGACGTCGGGAGTCTGGGCTCGTCACTACGACGGGGTTCTGCTCCGAGCGCCCGTTGTGCCGATGGCCTGGACGGGTCTGGGGCCGATTTCGGGCAGGACGTCGCCGAGAGGCATGAAAGTCCGCAAGCCGACTTCTGCTCGGAAGCGCTGGTCGGAACGAAGTCTTGCGCGTCTCCTTTGGGCTGTTTTTGAGCAAGACGCTTGCGGGAGGCATCGAGTGTCGAGCGCTTTGAAGACGAAAGGCACCGAAGCATTGGTGCTAGAGGGGCTGGTATTCATCTGCGAGCGGGAGCTTTACTATTAGCGGCATAAAACGAAGCGTCACGCCCTGTACTTCAGGGCTGCAGCTCCCTCGGAGAGACCTGCGGGCATGAAGGTCCCAGCTGCCTTGACAAGCGTCCCCAGCGGTGGCTCGTTCTACGCGATGTGGCCCCAGGTCGCAGCCAGGGGGCGCGAAGGTGTCAGCGCTTCGCGCGTCGCGGCCTGGGTTTTGTAGAGCTGCCGTTCTCCAGGGGGGCGGCGCGAGGGCGCGAAGGTAATTAACCGCGCATCGCGGGGCTCGGAGCGCGAAGTGATGCGGTCCAGCGGGGCCAAGGAAACCCAGCACGTGAGGGGGACGACTGCCAAGAGGCGCGGTGTGCTGGCCGCGGCTTCTGACAGAGCCAACGCAGCCGCAGCAGAGCTCAGCGTGCTTCTCTGCGCACAGAAGTGCGTGAGAGGCGATGGTGCTGGCACGAGGGAGGGAGCAACTCCAGCTCTGCAGGATTACCCTTGCGTTCTCCCTGGGTTATCCACCCGGGAGTGCGCTTCGGTTGGAGCGCCTCCAGGGACGCTCGGCCTTCGGCGAGCGGGCTCGTGCTATTGACCCGCGTTCTTGTGGCCACGTTCCGAGTGTGGGAGGAAAAGACAGGCATCCGTGTTGTTTTGTGGTTGTACACTCTCATGTCTCTGCCGATTTCTTTCCCATCGCCTCACATGTTTGCCCTAGCAGGCGACAGCTGCAGGTCCGATGGCAGATGCCCGATGCCCGAGGAGGAGACGCGAAGGGGGGGAAGGACAGGAGCGTGCGAACTGCCAGAGCGTCCAGCGAAGCGCTGCCGACGCCGCTTCCCCTGCGGCCCCCGGCGGAGCTCGACTCCAGCACCGGCGACGGCCGCCCTGGCCTGAAGACGCCGCTTCGCCGCGGGACCTCAGCGGCGCCTGGCGCCGCGGGGGCCGCCCGTGAGAAAGAAACAAACAAACACAGCGCGAGCGGGGCAGGAGTCGGACCCAGACGAGCGACGTCCTGACTTTTTTGGTACGGGGTCCCTGGAAGTCCCGACCTTTTCCCGGGGACCGGCTTTTCGACCGGAGCCGTTTCCTGACGGTCCCGAAGGCCCGGCGAGGGCCCCCCGAGGCCGAACCTGGGCAAAAAAAGACCTCCCGCCCTGAGATCTGCTTCAACGGCGCGCGCGCGTCGGGGGAGCGCACCCCCCTCCCCCTGCAGGGCTGCTGCCCAGGCAGCCCGGCCCCGCGTCGCTGCCGGCCCCCGCGGCGGCCCCGGGGCACCGCACGCCACGCCACGGGCGGGCTCCTCTCTCGAAGGCCCAGGCCGCCCGCGGAGGCGCGAGCGCAGTGGCGCGCCGACGGGGCTCGTCTTCTGCGCCCTATGCCTCCCCCCCCCCTCCCCTGCCCTGACGCGTCGATCGAGGCACTGGCCGTGTTCGGTCTGCGAGGGGGCGTCGCGGCCGTCATCTCTGCGGGTCCGGGTCCGTCGGGTTCGGTCCCCCGGCCGTTGTCACGAGGGGGAGGTTGACTCCAGGGAGCTCTGTCCACCGCCAACTCCTGCTCGTTTCTCTCGTGCTCCATGCTTCTCCCTCCCCCTGCCACCCGTCCTTGCTTCCCCTGTTTTAGGGGCTGCACTGAATCCACGTGGCAGGCAAGGAAGATAATGATATACCCCCCAGGGGGCCCCCGCTCCAGGCCCCCTCGCGCTATGAGACGAAAACACGACGGGAGATGCTTCCGCCGTGTTCGGCCTCTGGGCGCCCTGACCGGGCCGTGGGGCCGTCACGGAACGACTCGGGACGGAAAGCCGGTCCTGGGGAACGGGCCCAGACCTCCGGGGGTCGACGCTGCGAAAAAATCACGACATCGGGGGTCTGGAACGACGGCGCGGCGGGGCGCGAAGCCAGGGCGACCCGGCAGCCGCCAGCCGCGCCCTGCGCGTCGCGGGAGCCTCGAGCGAGGGCGGCGAGCATGCACGCACCACGAGGCGCAGCAGGCAGCGGACGCGCGCCCGCCTGGCCCCGACCCCGGGCGGCGCCGCCCCCTCACCGAGCGCGTTCCACTACTCGCAAAGTGCCCACTCGCAAACGTCAGAAAAGAAAAAGAAGAAGAAAACAAGAAAAGCGTTCGCCTCGACGTAATAAATCGTAAATCCCTTACGGCGAATCCAGGCCATTTGCGAGTAGCGACTTTGCGAGTAGTGGAACGCGCTTGCCTACCCGCAGACGGCGCCCTCAGAGCTCGTCCTTGAAGGCCTTCGCGGCGGAGGTCTTGACTCCGCGGGTTGGCCAGCTGCGCCTCCTGGCCGCCGTCTCCGCCTCCTCCCGGAGGGCCGGGCGCTCCAGGACGGGGGCCTGGGCATTCCGAGCCAGGGGCGGGAGACGTCCGGGGCGCAGGCGGGGGCGCGCAGTTGGCCTCTCCAAGGGCGGGGGCGTGGAGGCGATCGAGCTTCGCGCTTGGCGGCCGGGTGGCCCGAGGAAGGATCCAGTTCGGAGGCTTCGGACTTCTGGGCGGTGGGGGATGCGGGCAGGGATGTCTGCTCGGAGAGGAAGCTTTGGCACCCGAGCGGCGCGGGGGGGCAGAGAGAGGGACGGGGGTGGAGGTGAAGAACGTGGTCTTCGCATCGGTGCTCCTGAGAGACCACTTCGAGGATCAGGCGACTCAGGCCCACTCGGTTGCTCTGTTTTTTGCCCAACTTCTGTCGGCGTCACAGCGTCATCATCACGTGTGTGTGACCAGCGCCCAACCGAGGCATTTACCAAAATATTTCCCTGGCCAGATAATGTGCCGCACATGTGCGGCCACACCTTCCGCACATGTGCGGTCGCACGCGTTATCTCAAAAATCGCTTGCATTACTGATCTATCGGTTGGCTGAAAGTCCTTCTGCCCACCCGTACTGGCTCATCGCGTAATGCCGGTGCCCTACACGCTTGTTGAGGCAGTGGTACGCTTGCGTCTCATGCGTAAAAGAGAGGTTATTGACGTTTCGCGTATCCCCACCATCCGCTTGCCGTCCCCGACACGCCTGTTGCCGCCTGACTTTTGTCGCGCGGCCGCCGACCAAAAAAGTACCCTCACCATCCCATCCAGAAACGATACCCATGAAAGTTGACAGGGGGAGAGAGGAACAGACACGCCACGCATAGTCAAACAGCGAGGGAGGCTTGGGAGGCTCCGTGGCCATTTCGAGCCGTCTTGGAGCGGGGTCCTTGGGCCGCGTGGGGCATTTTGGGGGCCATCTTGAGTCAGCTTGGGCGATCTAAGCCATCTTGGAGGTCATCTTGGGCCGCTCGGGGGCCTCTTGGGTGCATCTCGGGTGCCTCGTGGAGCCCTCTTGGGGCCTCTTGGGGTGCTCTTGGAGCCCTCTTGGGGGCGTCTTGGGAGCCCTGGAGCGCCTCTTGGGGCCATCTTGGAGGCGGTCGGCCAAAAGAGAGGGGGTACTCGATCTCCGTCCACCCTTTCGGATGCCACGATCCCTGTGCAAAACTTCAGAGAGGGGAAGGGGAGGGGTACCCTCCCCGAAGGGAAGAGGGGTTGTGGACGAGGAAACAAACCCTCGTTAGACCACCTGTCGCCCAAAGGGCTGGTGGGACTGGCGAGTTGCATCGTAGTGTGATTGTGGCGTTGAGAAGAGCAGCTGAATGTATGGCCACTCGGGTTGCGCAAGCTTGCTGTCAACCGACGGCCGCGCGGTGTGCTGGAAGCCTGAATCCGCTAATCAGTGGCCCGTTTGCAACGAGTAAGCATCCCTGGCTCAGCGAATGGTGCTTGCCAGCCGCGTTCGTGTCGAGTTCTGACCGCGGGACAACGGGCCACGCAGACGGAGTGCTCCGATCACGCGACCAGGGGCTTCGCGATCGTGCGCTAGAGATGTGATTTGTGCGTGCGTGCGTGTGTGAGCCATCGTGGGCAGGGCTGTGGCAAGACCCTTCGAACGTGGGGCTTCCACATTCATTCGCGCTTGGCACGGAAGAAAAAATCACCGCGGCCTGCCTCGCCGGGTGCTTCTTGGTGGCGTATGCACGGATGCGCGGATGCGGCACGGATGCGGCAGGACAGGAAGTTTTGGCCGTTCGCCGTGCAGCTTCCATTGGCAAAAGCTCCGGGCTGTTTTCGTTTTTCGCTTCTGCCCATTCAGCTCCTGCCCGCTCCGCAACTCCAAATCGGCACTGGGAACTCTCGGGGTACTTTCTGGCCAGGAGCTCCCAGCGGATCCATCCGTGGCCGCGAGAAGCTTTTCGGAGCCCAAACAAATACGAAAACACGGGCGGCAGCCAAAATGTCGTCTCACATGCGTCATCTCCGGGGCGCCGTTCCGGGGGAACGCGTCGCTTTCGGCCAGATTTGGTGCCTTGGAGGGAGCACCAAACTCTTGTATTGTCCGCCCTCGCCTCCAGAACGACCCTGGCGTCGAGCACTCCCTCACCACACGCACGTCCAAGAGCCTCAAAACTCACTCCCCCATCCCACCACACCTCCGGCATCGATCCTCGATCCTCGACGACGGCGAAGACGCCGACGACGGCGATGACGACGGCGGCGATGATGACGGCGACGGCAGCGGCGACGGCGGCGGCGCGCATGCCCCCTCCCGCGAGAGCAGCGGCGGGGGCACGCGCGGCGCACGCCCTTGCGACCTGTCCCCGCGCGCGGTGGGCCCGCGCCCCCCACCTCTCCGTCACACTGCACCTGTCGCCGCGCCGTTTGTCCCGACGCGCGGCCTCACGCCTTGGGGAAGCCCAGCTTGCCGCCAGCACGCGCGGCTCTGAGTGTCCTGCGCTTGTTGACGGGCGGGGTCAGCAGTGATCGAGAAGGAGGTCCGTTGGCATAGGGAGCCAGAGGGCTGAAAACGCGGTCGGACTTGACTGCGTTCATTGTGCTTGTAGGGCAGCGTTGCCCTGCATATGTCGCCGCGCCGTTTGTTCCGATACGCGGCCTCACGCCAAGGGGAGGGCGCCGAGGCCACCAGGGCAAACGCCGCCTAGGGCGCGGTGCCGGCCTCGTTTGCTTGGACTGCGCGGCGCAGGATTTGCTGTAGTTTTGCCGTGGTGTCGGCGTCGTCCACTTGAGTGCGTTCGAAACAAGCGGCGCAGCGGCATACTCGGGGGCCCTTGTCTGCCTGGTGAATATAGGTCGTTTCTTGTATCTGCCGCGGGTTCGACATGGATTTGGCGCGGGTTCGACGTGGGGTCGGCGCGGGTTCGGCGCGAACAGCGACGAGATGGGACGGGCAAGGTCTCCTGGAGATGCAACAGAACCTCTGGCGAGTCCACCAGGTGCTGGTCCTATCCGATTTGTATCCGATTCCGATATTCCGACGACCCGATGCGTCCCGACATTTCGATGGCGTTGTTGTGCATCTTGGCGCAGCCAGTCCGATTCGATTCCGACTCCGTGCCGATGCGGCCCGACGAGACGCAGATTCCGACCTGATCTGTTTTTCCGATTTGATGCTGATTGGTCCTGCCAGGTGCCCGTTCTCGCCTCCCGGAGATCCGGTGGCGTCGAGCAAGTACTCCCGCGCGCGCGTCCAAGAAGCTGGATCCTCGATCCTGCCTTCCCCCAATCGATCCCCAACCCCCTCTCGGGGCGCGTTCTGGCCAGTGTTTCGGGGCGAGCTCGGCCCTGGCGACGAGGGCCCTCCCAGAGGGCCTCCGATCCTCGATCCTGCCCTCCGCCAATCGATCCCTGGACCTCTCCCCGGGGCGCGTTCTGGCCAGGGTTTCGAGGCGAGCTCGGCCCTGGCGACGAGGACCTTCCTTCGGGGGGCCTAAGAGCGCGAAGGCGAGGGAGCTGCATCGGCATCGGTGTGCTGCATTGCTCGTCTCCTCTGAGCTCGTGCTGGCGCCGTGCATCGCCTAGACCGAAAAATTAGCCTGGCGAAAGACCCAACCATATCAATGTGAGTACCGCAATTGTGAATATCTTCCTCGGTGGCGCTCCATATGGGGCCACGAAACGCTGTACTGGGTGGGCGAAACGCAGGGTGCAAGGGCCGTGTTGGGTGGTGGCGGACGCATACGGGCGGTGCCACTGGGACCTTCGGTGGAGCTCCCTGCAGGGAGACAAGGGCTGTGCTGGGTGGTGGCGGACGCATGCGGGCGGTGCCACTGGGACCTTCGGTGGAGCCCCCTTTATGGGGCCACGAAACGCTGTACTGGGTGGGTGAAACGCAGGGAGTAAGGGCTGTGCTGGGTGGTGGCGGACGCATGCGGGCGGTGCCACTGGGACTTTCGGTGGAGCCCCTTTTTTATGGGGCCACGAAACGCTGTACTGGGTAGGCGAAACGCAAGGGGCAAGGGCTGCGCTGGGTGGTGGCGGACGCATGTGGGCGGTGCCACTGGGACCTTCGGTGGAGCTCCATATGGGGCCACGAAACGCTGTACTGGGTAGGCGAAACGCAGGGAGCAAGGGCTGTGGTGGGTGGTGGCGGACGCATGCGGGCGGTGCCACTGGGACCTTCGGTGGAGCACCCTTTTATGGGGCCACGAAACGCTGTACTGGGCGGGCGAAACGCAGGGAGCAATGGCTGTGCTGGATGGTGGCGGACGCATGCGGGCGGTGCCACTGGGTCCTTCGGTGGAGCCCCCTTTTATGGGGCCACGAAACGTTGTATTGGGTGGGTGAAACGCAGGGAGCAAGGGCTGTGGTGGGTGGTGGCGGACGCATGCGGGCGGTGCCATTGGGACCTTCGGTGGAGTCCCCTTTTATGGGGCCACGAAACGTTGCATTGGGTGGGTGAAACGCAGGGAGCAAGGGCCGTGTTGGGTGGTGGCGGACGCATGCGGGCGGTGCCATTGGGACCTTCGGTGGAGCTCCCTATGGGGCCACGCAACGCTGTACTGGGTAGGCGAAACGCAGGGAGCAAGGGCTGTGCTGGGTGGTGGCGGACGCATGCGGGCCTTGGTCCTTGGACTTGCCTTTGCCCTGCTTCTGACACCTATGCCTGCACCACGAGTGCCAGGCTGCGGTGAAGTGGTAGCCTCCCTCGGCTTTCAGCCTCTTCAGGTGAGCGGCCGCCGTCTCGCGTGAGCGTCGTGGCCTGCTGACACGGCGGGCTTCCCAGGGGCGGACGGGATCAGGATGGTGGCGATCGTCCTCGTGCTGAGGGTTGCGCCGATCGCTCTGCTGGTGCCAAGGGGCCCACCCTATGTTCCTGTCACGATCGCGGTCGTGATCGCGGTTGCGCTCTCTGGCTCGGCCCAGATCGCTGGTGTCCTGCTGGTGCCAGGGGGCCCACCCTACGCCCTTGTCCCCGTCGCGGTTTCGGTCGCGGTCGCGCTCGTTGGCACGGGCCCGATCGCTGGACTCTCTGGACTCGCGCCGCACTGCGCTGTCGCACGGTTCCCAAGGGGTTTGAACCCTCGCCCTGCCTCGCTCGCGCCCGTGTTCGACCGAGGGGCCGCGCGTGCAGGGCGCGGTCGTCAGCGGCAGCCGTCGCGTGCACGGTCTGTCCCGTGGGTGCGCGGGCTGGGCTGTCCTGGTGTGTACTGCTTGTGTCGCCTCGGGACTGCTGCGTCGCACCTCGCGCGGGCTCGTCTCGGTTTGGCCCTGCTCGTGTGTATGTGTGTGTCAGGGTCTGTGGAAGGTGAGACTACGTGGACCGTGCTTGTGGCCTCTGCAAGCCACTGTTTCTGTTCCTCCTCCTGGTCGTCGTCGGCGG